AGGGGACACTGAACATCCCTGACCCACGTGACAAGCTTGCCCCACTTGTGGCAGGCAGAAACCATTTGCCTTTAAATGAACCTCCTCAGACCTGCCAGGAAAACGCCGGCTTCCTGGGAGGGTAAGCCTGCTGCCCCCTAGCCATCCGTGCTCTGATTTGTCACTCTTGCTTCCCAGAAATTTTGTGTCTAACCCCTCACATTGACAATGGAATAGTGGTGCCCAGTTTTTGGCTGCCCAGATTCTATGCAGCAGCAAATGAGAAGAGGAAATACGAGTATGGCGATACCGTTAGGATCCAATGCAATCATGGGTATCGCCTCCATGGTGACAAAGAGATACGCTGCCACGAAAATGGCAACTGGAGTCCTGCACCCCAGTGTGTCCGAGGTGCGTATAGAAGGGAAAGTTCTGGTATTTGGAGACCTGTTCCACAGGGGTACAGGAGTTTCTATCTGTGCGTGTCCTGTGTCTGTCCACGTGTGCGTGTCCTTAGTGTTGAGCTGGCCCCGTCTCCTGCATTCTCACTCCAATCCCCTGCTCAGGTCAGAACCGCAAGAGTGCGACCACAACGGTGGCGTGCAATCCGCGCAGTGCGTATAGTTTCATAGATGCTCGGGTCAGAAGGGACCTCAACAGATCGAGTCCGACCCCCTGCCAGAGGCAGGAAAGAGCACTGGGGTCATCTGACCCCAGCCAGGTGCTTGTCCAGTCTCTTATTAAAAACCCCCAAGGTAAAGGAGAGCACCACCTCCCTCGGGAGCCTCTTCCAGATTCTGGCAACCCTTACCGTGAAGTTCTTCCCGAAGACCAACCTAAACCTGCTCTTTGTCCATTTGTAGTCATTGTTCCTGGTTATTCCCAGGGGTGCGCTGTAGGCCTCTGCAAGTAGGCAGCTATTTGATCCAGCTTTGGATCTGGCCGCTTCAGATGCCAGGGACCTGATCCGGGTTCCCGCTTTGATCCGGCCAAAGGGGCTCCAAAGCTTCAGAGCCGCCTCAGAGATCGGGCCATAGGGTATAATGGGGAATCAATGAGATATCTATAGCTTTGTTGTTTTTTGTCTGATTTGGATGAAGCTTGCAGGGGCGGTAGCCTCTGCTGAGAGCATGAAGCCTGCCGAGTTTCAAGATTGGTGCAGGGGTTTGGGGGAAGCTGCACCCCAAATTCATGAAAGCAAAACTCATGTCACGTGTATGTGTTAAGCCACAGTGGGGTCAAAACTTCAGGGGTGGTGGCCCCTGCTGAGGCCACAAAGCCTGCCCAGTTTCAAGGTGATAAGTGCAGGGGTTTGGGGGGCACGGCACCTCAAACTGCTGACAGGCAAAACTTGTGTCGCAGATGACCCTGTGTGTGTGAAGGCGCAGCGGGCTGAAAACTGCAGGGGTGGTGGCCCCTGCTCAGGCCACGAAGTCTGCCAGCTTCTGTCCAAGGGCTTGGCTCCTCCTGGCTAGCAGAAAGTGCCTGTACTGCTAAAACAATACTAGTTTAAATTCTTGATTTGAAAACACTTTGTTTCCTTATCGTTCTCAGAGCCTGTGTGTCCATCCCTGCATATTGAACATGGGACACTGGTATCTAGCCATGGAATGCAGCATGCACCTGGAAGCACTGTTGAGGTTCAGTGCAATGCTGGTTATGTCCTCAATGGCCCCCCGTGGATTGTGTGCCAGTCTGACGAGACATGGAAACCTCCGGTACCCTTTTGTGATAAAGGTGAATATAAATGTGACTCATTCCCCCACCCCCCAGAACTTGGAAAGAGCAGCAAGAAGCCAAATCTGCTTCTGGCACTCGTACGAGGAGGTGTTGTTTCAGAGGAACTGCTCCGCGTTGAAGTGCTGGACAAGTGGTGGGTATCATCACCCGTGCCTTGTCTAGCTGAAGACAAAGTGTGTCAGAGGATGGAGCTCCCAACCATCTTCTATGCATCGCAGATCCCATTCCATGAGCTTTCCTCCTCATTATCAGACTAATATTTCCTGTTCTTTATGTCCTCCTCTTAGTTCTAGCTCTACCCTGTTGCAGCGTTCTCCATAATTCCCACGCTGTTTCATCAGGCCAGGGTGGAGGGATAGGCCTGTGCATCAAGGAGTTGTATGGCAGGTCGGGGGGTTTGACCCTGGAGGTTCGGGTGCTGGCGCGGACGATTCTGGGAGCAGTCAGCAGCTCCGCTGCGCAGACTTGATCTTGCCAGAAGCTGAGTGTCATCCTGAAGAGAATCTGCCCCCCATATAAGCATCAAGTGCTGGATTCTCCCGCGACTGCCCCTAGTTTCCCTGGAGCCTGTGCTGACTTTTGGTCACACCGGTATGGGGCCTCTCCAACCTGGCATCTTTGCTGTCTTCTCCATTTACAGCCTGTGGGCCACCTCCAGATATTAAGCGAGGGCAGCATTCTGGCGGCACCAAGGAACACTTCTTCTATGGCTCGGAGGTTAAGTACAGCTGTGCCAAGGGCTTGTCGCTGATTGGAGAGTCTTCCATCTACTGTATCTTGGATGATGAGTTCAATATGATCTGGAGTGGGCCTGCCCCGCGGTGTGAAAGTGAGTTTTCCTGTGTTGCTCTTGGGACTGGTGTCGCCTCACGAGTGTTTTAGCAAATGGGGCTGAAAACGAGCAGAGCCCTCTGCCTGTCTCAGCAGCTCCCCCGTGTCGTGGGCTGTGCGAGGGGAGATGGGCTGGGCTGAGGTATTGCTGGGGACAGCCCCCATCTTCATAGCAAGTGTTTCAGCATTGGCAGGACTTCCCCGCTGTGCAGGGGATGGATGGTCTCCTTGAATGGCTGGACAGCTGTAAGCAAGGGACTTGATGGACTCGTATATGCTAATCTCAAGTGCAGCTAGAGAGCATCTAAGGAAGTGCCCCACCTAAAGTGTCCATTTAAAGCAGTGGTCCTCAACTTTTTTAGACACAGGACATCCCCAGATTGCCTCCAGGCCCGCCTTGGCAAATACCAGCTCTTAGTTTTTACTCTTTCTTTGCTTATAGAATATACCAGAGCAGTTTTTCTGTTGCAAAGAGCTCAGAATACCCACAGCTACGGGTTTCTGTTGGAAATCTCGGGGGTTATCATGTGGATCATGCTTGTAAACCTTATGGTGATAACTTCACTTGGCGTACCCCACAGCACCCTTGAAAGGATCTCAAGGCACCCTAGGGTACTGCAGCGCCTTGGTTGAGAGTCGCTGATCTGAAGTGTCCAGTGTCCCCTCCTGGGAATGTCTCTTTCCCACACATAGAAATGGTCACAACAGGTGCCCCCAGTGTCAGTTCTCTCTTCCTCAAGGCAACCTGCCTTCAAACCCAAGGCCTAGTTGATGCGAGAGCCTCGTTCCCAACTGTTGCTTCCCTTGCCCAGCTGATGCAGCTCTCAATGCCTGGTTTCCAAAACAGTTGCCCTAATATCATCCCTTTAGGCATGCAGGCCCCTTTGCAGACAATATTGAGAGAGTTTATGGGAACAGCCTGTGACCTGACCTCTCACCGGGAGCTCAGGCTGGAGGTAATAGCATTGAACAGTGCTCACCCCCAAACCCACCGGCCTTACAATCGTAATTTGGCCCTGCTTATCTTCCCAGTGTCTTCACAGCTCTGGTACAGGATGACACAGTCTTCTGTAACTGTCCAAGGAAGTGAAATCTTCCAGAAACCCACAAGAATTCAGATAACACGAACAATAAATTGGCAGCCTGAATGGTCTTGGTGTCTGTCGTTCCCTGTTTTAGTCGTAAGCCTCATGTCTTGGTTGTGTATCCTCAGTGGTTCGCTGCCTCAGGCCAGTGATCGAAAATGGACAAATGACTACCACTAGGCATGTTTTCCTATATGGCACCACTGTGCAGTTTTCTTGCAACGAAGGCTACATGATGGATGGTAGTAGAGAGAGCCAATGCCAAGAGTACAGTATCTGGAGTCCTCCTCTGCCGTCTTGTCGTCTCGGTAAGTCTCAGTGGTCCCCGGCTGCTCCGTCACATATGTGCAGACCCTGAAGAACTGTGCCTGCAAGGGACAGATCAGGGACATGGAGACGGGGGAGAAAGAGGGGCCTCTGAAAACAACCCTGAGGCTAAGGACCCTCCCTTGTCTGTGTCCTGGACACCATGTCACTTGGAGTTTGTTCATCAGCTAAACGGAGGCAGTAAATGACACCCCTCAAAATGGTGTCAGGAGGTTAATGAGCAAAGTGTTAATTATTGCTAAGCCTTCATTCGCAAAGCTGCCCCGGCTGCATGCTGCCAAAGAAAAGCACCTGAGAAGATGATGCATGATCAGTTGTGCCTGCTTTTTCATTGCGTGATCTGTCCACATCATCCCCCTTTTACAGGGGAGGAAACTAGAGTGTGTATAGGTGAAAGGCTTGTTGAGGCCCTCCAGCAGTTTAGGCAGTGGCAGACTTGGGTGCTTTCACCGCTCAGCCATTCACCCTCACGTAAGGAGGGAAAAAAGCACGCAGTCCTGGCATCCAAGACGAGTGCTGTGCCTTAAAGAAAGCTAGTGTTACTGACTGATATTCTTTCCTGTTTGTGGAAAGAGCCTATTTTTGATCCTGAGATACCCATGCTTAAATCTGCAAAGCGGTGCGTGTTTGCTCTGTAACTCAGCCCATACCAGCAAATAGAGTCATAAAAAATAAGGGTCGGAAGGGACCTCAGGAGGTTGTGTCTAGTCCAACCCCCTGCTCAAAGCAGGACCAGCCCCAACTACATCATCCCAGCCAAAGCTTTGTGTAGCTGGGTCTTAAAAACCTCCACCACCTCTGTGGGTAACCTGTTCCAGTGCTTTACTGTCCTCCCCTTGAGCAAATTGTTCCTAAGATCCAACCTAAATGTCCCTTGCTGCAACTTGGGATCATTGCCACCATGGAGAATAGCGAGGGCTCCTCAGGCTCTTGCAGTCTTGCACTGATGTCTAACAGAGGTGTTGAAAGAGAAGCGGGCATTGCATTACAGACAAGGAAGGGCTTGGTGAGCTCTGCCTGGGAAGCGCACAGGAGGGGACGGGGTTGCGTTCGGCCCCTCGCTGAACTCATTTCTCCCCTGTGCCTATTTCCAAGGTAAGTCAAAGCTGCTGTAGGAAAAACAACTGTTTCAGGCATCCTGCCTTTGCATCTTCTCGTCCTCTCGCTGATCTGCCACATGTCGCACATTTTCCTTTCAGTTCAGTGTCCAAAGCCAGACCTGCCACATGGAAATGTGATGGGCAACCAGGATGAAAAAGCATGGTACAGCATGAATGAAACCATTACTTTCAGCTGTCCTGAGGGGCACCGATTCTTAGGCTGCTGGCATCTGTTTACGACTGACACATGGACGATTACTTGTTCTGCTGACGGCAAGTGGACAGACTTCCCCAAATGTGTAAGTGCCCTAGCGTGGTTGGGTTTTTCCCCCGGTTCTGGTATGGCAATCCCCAGCTTCAGGGCTTCTGATGGGCGTTCACTGATGGTCAGGAAAGTGGCCTTCCTCTTGTGAACGCTTTACTGGTTTCTGAAGGGATTTTCCCACCCTCTTCAGCAGTGGACATTGGGCACAGCTGAGGCTGAAGGTTTCAGTTGGGGTGTGATTGCGTTTCTGCTGGGTCTGAGAAACCTCACAGGTGCCTGCCTGGAGGGTCTCGCTCTTCCGCTCGGCATCAGACCAGTTGCCCAGTCTGGGGTCGGGGGGGATGTTTCCCTCTGGCCAGACTGGTGCAGCCCATGCAGGTGGTTGTCCCTCTCTATAGCATGGCGCACGGTCCTTCTCCTGGGATCTTCAGAACTTAATTAAGCAATTGTTTCTCTGTCGCTGCAGTGAACAGGGCAATGGCAGTGCCTTTGTTCCCACTGCTGTTACCTGTGGCGCATTGTCATATCGTCATAGCATTGTGCACTGTAACTGCATATGAGGGTTTAAAACGGAGGCTTTCAGTTAACGGTTGCCCGCTAATGCAGGCTGACCTCCATGTCTCCAGTTCCCATCCAGTTCTCCTGCTTTCCTAATTGCCATTACTTCTTACCTGCTCACTTCACTCAAAGATGAGCCTGGAGGGAGCAGTGCATGATATAATGGAAAGGAGGCAGACAGTGTTTTCTTCCTATGTAATAACAGCTCCATTAAAGACATAAAAGGTGTAAAACGTGGTGGATAAAGTTAGCAGCCAGGCAGGAGAGCTTGTGTGTTCATATAGTCTGTTCTCCCGGGGCACCAGACGTAGCCAATATTATGACTATTTAGTAAGCAGCGTCCAGTGGATTCAATGCAGCATAAACATGTGGGAAGACCATGACCGCTGTGTGAGGAGCTCAGTCCAAGTGTTTGATCCTGAAGGTTGCTCTGAACCTCTCCCAAAGGTGCTTAGTACTGTCACCTTCCAGTTAGCCGTAGGACTTGACAGCACTCGCCAGAATGAGGCCCTGTCGCGCACAGCCAGCGAGAGACAGGCGCACGTTCAGTGCAGGATCGTGGCTGGGGCAAAGGAAGCAAGTGTACTTGAGGAGGAGCCCTTGCATCCTGCAGCAGCATCACATGTCCTCTGTTTTTTTTTTTTTCTTCAAAAAAGGTGAAAGAGGATGAGGTGTATAAGACGGCGTACGATGTCAAAGAGTTTCGGCAGTGTGATATTTCTCTGTCGCAAGTGAGGATCCTGCAGGAAATACAAAACCTAAAGCTGGAAGTCAAGAGGCTGACAGGGGATAGCCAAGATTTAGCATGAGCAGCACAGACCTATGACCCACATCAAACCACTCGCAGCTTCTTTGGATCCAGTTCATGAGATGGGAGCGTACAAAGCAGAACTCTTTCCTGATTTCACAGCCTGTGCTAATGCTCCTGGTAGGCCTGAGTGCAGTGCCTGCTGCATCCGGGATTAGGTTTTCTCATGCCAGCTGTTTAGGATTTTCTTGCTCCTTCCATCCTCTCGCAAGTCTGAGCCTCCCAACCATACGATAGGTATTTTAGGTCGTGCTCTCTTGTTTGGGGGGAGGGGCAGGTGGTTTAATTGAGATTTGACTGAATTGTATGCAAGTAAACATTTAACTGAGTAACGGTTCTGATCCTTTGCAAGTGGAAACTCGCACTAGCAACCTTCCCTCTTGCAGACCTCACACAACCACTGCTCATATTTAATCGCAGTGTATTCGAACCGATACAATCGGTGCATTTTAATGCGAGGGGTTGCAAAGCCCAGTCCCTCTCCTAGTCTCTGGCTTTGAAAATCTCTTCAGGTTTCCTGCCTGCTTTTCATGGAGCTACATTTGATTGGCACGTGCTTGGACGTCTCTCAACACCATGCGCCCAGTAAGAGTACGTGGTGAAACTTTGCCTGCAGAGGAGGAATGAGATGAGCTCTATTGTCTCATTGCCCAAGAAACGAGAGGGCTTTTTTCTTGCCTGCACCTTTGTGATTAAGTTGGTTTTTGGTCACTCTAGCATTCCAATAAAATGCCATTGCATTAACAGCTGCTTGTCTTGGTGTTTTGTAACTCTTGTTCCATTTGCAAGGGGAGCTGGGCAGCACACAGTCCCCCGCCCCTTGCCTGTCCAGTCCTGGGGCTCCTGCAGCTGCGCATGTTCCTGCTTCTCCTTTCTGCATGTGCCCACCCCCAGTGAGGGAGAGGCAGGCTCCCCGTGGCACTGTGCTCAGTGTGAGGAGTGGCTAGTGCCCTGCCAGGCAGCACCCTCGCTGTCAGCCCTGCTCTCCAGCCTTGGCTCTCACCCAGCACCATGAAGGCATCTCTTTGCGGGTCCTGGCAGCTCCTGGGGACCTTCATGCTTGTGTTGCTGCCAATGGGGGCTCTTGGTGAGTTGGGGGTGAACCTCGCTCCTTTACTTTTTCTCCACCTACCTCTCCTGTCGCCCTCCCCGCTTGTCTGGCTCTTTGCCCATCTCCTGAGAGAGCACTGGAGCGCCTGTCCACATCCTGTTGTCTTGGCTAAATGTCTCCTGCAGTTCCTAGGGTTCGTGGGAATTTTTGTCCTTTAGACCCTTATTCCACCCAGTTCTCATGCATGTTTGTAACTGCTTTGGCCTCCATGGGTCGCTGACAGGTTTGTTGCATTTATGTGCTTATCCTGAATGACAGGCAATTTGTCTACCCACTGGCTTAGTCTGAACATCAGCTTAACCATACTATAAAAAAATGCACCAAATTGAATGGGTCGACCAAATAAAGGCACTTCCCAGAGAGTCTTTTTTGGTCTCTTTCCCCATGCGCATCCTCCTACCACAAGGAGAGAACTCATATGGGAGCTGCATTGTCATTTGTTGCTTGGTAGCTGGCAGTGTGTGAGATTAATCATGGGTTTTGGGTTTTTTTAGTAAATTATGTGGATACTTTATACATGGCTGTGTGCAGAGGAACTGGGAGACTTGCCTCTCACAGGGACTGCAGCTGCATAGCTGAGGGTACGGGTGGGAGACGGGAACTAGTCAAAGGTGTGGTCTGCAGTGAGGAAGCCGAGATCCTTCTAAAGAGATCTGCAAGGAGATGTCTGGACCCTGGGAGACTGAGATCGTATATGGTCCCTGTAAACACATTGTGGAAGACAAGATTCCTGTTCGTGTTGCTACATCGGTTTGGTGATGCCTGATTCCTTCCCATTCCAACAACTGGGATTTGGGCGTGGGGGGGCCATATTTTTCTCCTGCCCTCCTCATCACTAAGGAGAACTATTCTACAGTTGCTCGGGGTTGTAGGGGGATGGTTAGGAAGGCCAAGGCAGAGATGGAGCAGGGGCTGGCTTCCCGGATTAAGGACAACAAGAAGTCCTTTTTTAAATACATAGGGAGTAGAAAGAAGGCCCCAGGAAATGTGGGGCCCTTGCAGGACAAGACGGGGAATCTGGTTGTCACGCCAGACGACAAAGCCAACATATTTAATAACTTCTTTGCC